GCCCCCAACGTCAGTAACTCTTGTGAACAGCTAGATGTGGTTTTTCAGACCAACTGGCACTTTTTAAACCAACTGTCACTTTCAGTTGTCTCTCACTTTTCTTGCTTTCCCCCCAGTTTCTCTTCACTTTCCCCTGACATTTATTGAAACCAAATATTTCTTCACACGTCTTGCTTACTATACGATGATAAGCACCAAAGATTTTGCTGTCTAACTGCTGCCACTGGATACCCACTCCTGTTCTCTCCTCCAGTCTATTGGGGCTCCCAGTCTATTCACCCACTTTACTAATAGGAAGGGTGACTGCTTCATTGAGGTCAAGTGGGGATGCCCATAATGAAGAGGATCCGTGTTGGTCTGTGTTGTTATGGTATGCCACACAGTTCATGGGGCTCAGTGTGCCGGAGCCGCATTCCTCAGAGGAGGTTGGTGACACCAATTTCGGCAGTGCTGTGATCCAGTGTGGGCTTTACTCTAAGGTTTAAAGGAACTATGCATAGCGCTGGACTATAACCTCCCCCACCAAAACCACAAATAGCTCTTAAGAAGTTCAGAGTGCAACTGGAGTGGATAACCCCAGCATTCACCATTGAAGCCTTATGACAAGAGAAAAGGTATTTTTAAACACAATGAGTTGTTCTTCTTGTACTGGTAGAAGACTGCTGGCAGAACAGCAGCTTGAGCAAGATACTCCCATGCATAACTCAAATCTGCTCCAGAGTTTTGGGGAATCCAGCAGCAGGGAACAAACAGGGATGAGAGGTCTGGAAAGTTTGTGTACTAGCTGATGTCCTGTTGCACAAGCGATTTCTGCTTGTGCCATGTTGGATCCAAGCCATTTGTAGTATGATTGCAGCTGTACTGCCTGCCTTTGAAGGAACTTTTTTCCAGCATTGAAATCAAAATCCTCTCCTCTCCTCTTCTCTCTTCTCCCATATGCTTCCTCTTCTATGTAATAGCACTTCATCCTCCCCTCCTTTGGAGCATCTTCTTTGGTATACAAATAGGAAAGATCACACCATTGTAACTTGTTATTTCTGTATGGATATGTCATAAATGATGGTATAGGGTATATAAAAATAAGTAAATAAATAGTGCAGGGCTAGAGAATGAGAAAGTAGCCAAAATGATAGGGGACTGAATCACTGAATGGCAAGGAAAACTTATGCTGATTGCAGCTTTTCATTTTAGAAACATGGCAACTAAGGGGAGTCATGATTGAGAGTTCTAAATTAAAAACAGTGTAGAGACATTGCATAGAAGTTAGTTTTTCCCATCTTTACAATGTTAGACATGACTGTCATCTAATGAAGTGAATTGACTGTAGATTCAGGTAGACACATGAAAGAACCTATTCATTAAACACACAATTCATGTATAGAATTTTCTGCAGCAAGATGTGATAATGACACCACCTCCTTAAGTTCCTCTCTAGTCAGCCATTGAACAGCCAACGAGCCCTCAGTGGGTCTGTTCTCTCCCAGCCCCATGAAGTGTCCACTGTGGACAGCCCACTGTGGTCCATTAATGCTTGAGGGGCTGCGATGCTTGCCATCCACCATGAGTAAGAAAAACCTCACTAGGTTTGTTCTAGGATTATGTGAAGGTTGGTTAATCCTCATATAACCTTCCTTGGTTTGCCCAAGGAGTTGTATAGGGGTTGCATGTACAGATGGCATGTACTGCAGCTCGAGGGTTAATTAACCCAGAAAAGGCTGTCATGCTATCCAAATTGTGTTTGCAGGGGGAAATGGGATATAATGCATTCACAGGGAATCAATCTTCTATAGTAAGGACTATTCTAGGAGAAAATCATTCTATGGTAGGGATTTGTCTGATTACCTATCTAGCTCCAAAAAACAGATCAAATAACTCACTCAAGAAGTTTCCATCATTGCTGCCTATTGGGTTGAAATTGAACAGAATATTAATTTGAGAACCAAACCAAAGTGATGAAATTGTTTTAAATTTCTCCTCTTCTTTAAGTTTAGGAGGGGACTCCATCTTTGTGATAGCGCTGCCTCAGTTTTCAGATGGAAGCATGTCCAGTAACACTTTAGGCTGTATATTGTGGATGCCATTTATGAATGTTTCCTCACATGCAAAAAGAAAAAGCCATCCTTCCTACAGGAAGGAAACCAACAACAAGGATTCTAGCATTTGTACCCCTCCAATAGCAGTTATTATTATATACAGTATGTTTTCTTTCTTATGAAATCTGCTAGGTTCCTTTCTTTGAATAAATAAGTCAAGACTTATTTTTATTTTATAAAAGCTTTTTACATTTTTGCAATTCCATATGATGTTGTTTCTATTTTATGTCATTCATCCCACTGTTGTATTGCTTTTAGTGGTTTATTATGCATCGTCTTGTAAGGACTTTTCCTAAAAGGGAGGGTAGAAATGGAATAAAAACCCTGGGGAGCATGAAAAACGTGATTCCCCCACTAGCAGGCTGAAGCAGTACACTTCATTCTACACCTTCATGCCCATGATCAACTCCCTTCATTTGAGAGGTAACCCTCCAAATTTCTTGGGGCATAATTTAATATTTATTTCCATATGGACACAGCTGCTAGTTTGCAGTAGGACTGGCACTAAAGATCTCTTCCTCCATCTCCCATTCGAGAGGTACCCATACACTACTGGGACATTGTCAGTTATGGGAGTGTTCGTGCGGCTGTCCTTTATTCCTACTGGGCTCTTGCCTATGCAACTGACTTGTCACTGTGTTCTTGGAGTAGGAGGGAAATGGGGGAATCCTACTGAATTTTATGGGAATCCTTCCGCATCTAACCAGCTACCTCTCTGTGGATTGGTCTCTAAGTCTTGAAGGCTCCACGGTAAAAGAAAATCTAAATCTTTAGACCTTTAAAAATCATGTGTCTGATTTAGGACATGGTTGAAATCAAGACAAAAATTGATGTAAAAGTTGTGTTAGTTTATTTCATGGAAAGAAACACCATGATGTTACTTTATATATCGTATGCAATGTTTGTTTGCTGTATTTACCAAATAAAATCTATCCATTTTATTTTTCAATTTTTCTCAGTAAGTCAAATTACTGCAGTTTATACAATATTTTGAATATTGTGTTACCTTTTTTGCCTCAGGTGAACACCATTGGATGTTGTAGCACTTATTTGACATAGTAAATTCACTGAAATAAACCAACATTGATGGTAGATTTCATTAAAGGATCTCCTCTTTCTTTCTATGTTGTTGAAAACGTTCTTTGTGTTTCTATGCCAACTCCATTTTATTTGAAATGGTAGTGAACTAGAAAATGGCTGTTTAGTGATATTTGCAGGACTAGGTTCTAAATTGTTTTCATAAAGTAGGATGGAAAATTAATAACAAAAATAGAAAACTAAATTAATAATATCTAAAGTGTTTAGATTTATGGAAAAGTAGTATGCATGATTATTATTATTTATTTACATTAAAAACTGAATCACTGAGTTTAGTAACTGAGTTACTAAAGTGTTAATTCTATTATATCTATCTTTTGAATATTTTCAATTCCTATCCATATTGTTAATTTTAGTTTGATAATATATATAAGGCAAAAGGAGAAATGATTTGAATGATGTAGCAATATATGGATATAAGAATGTAGCTGTCTGTTTGCTTTATGAAACTGACAGCTCAGTACTGAAACTTTATTTGAATAGATTTTTAAAAGGATTTGCGTCTTCAGAAATAAATAAATAAAACAGACATATCTTTAAAAAAGGAGGAAAAAAACCTCAATTGTTACCTCTAATGAAATAGTGGATGACAAAACAGTAGTCTTTTTGATTCTGATCAGAAAAAACAAACTGGTAGTGACAGGATATGATGGACAGATTTGACATTCTGGCAAATCACTGTCATTGATTCAATTATTCTAATTCAGAATAAAAGCTGTATACAGTATGTGTTTATGGTAAAGTGGATTTTTAAAATGATTGACATTCATCATAATAGACAGTTTTAAAAGCTATGTCTCCATTTTACTCACAGCGTTATAAAAAGTAAATTGTTTAACCAACAGTTTAGCACCAATCCCATCAAAGTACATTAACATTATTACAGGCAGTGTGCAAGGATATTTTGGGGGAGAGTATTTCAGTCCAACTGTGTAAAATTCTAGTTTAGAGTAAGATGTAAACTTTTAATCCAAACTGAACTTTATGGAAAGTTAGATGGAAGATAACTCAAAACAGAATTATTTATCAACCTAAAGCCAGGGCTCAATATACAGAGTAATTTGCGGACCCCACTTGAAACAATTTCTGATATCTACCTACTTACTTAGTTTGTATGTTGGTTCTACAGAAATATGTAAATCTTGCTGACAATAAATATTTATATATTTTTCCTAAATGGAAAATATTCATACATTTACAAACAGTATATACAAAATAGTATGGAATCCTGAATTGGTTTTATGTTCTGCTGCACTGTAGATTTCTTTCTGTGATATCTCTTCCCCAAGCTCCAATGCACTTCTCTGGTTTTCTAGCATTAATGTAGCTGTCAGTTTGAATTTGAATCTTGAATAATGTCTGTTGACATAATTTCATAGTGCTGACTTCAGTTATTTAGGGTTACTGTTTTGAACTATATAAAAAACAGAATGCTTTGTCAATGCTTAGAAAAATTTTACTCAAACAATTTCATTTATTTATTAGCCCATGAGGCAAAGTAATTATCTATAATGTATTTTCACTATTTTTATTCCACTATTTCTTGTTATCATACTATTGATAACTGGATGTTACCATAGAAGATATTCTAGCACAGTAATTACTAGTACCATCCTATACTGGTTACACTTAGAAGTAAGGCCTACTGAATTTCATGGGACTTAGTTACCCAGGTGACTGTGTGTAGGATTGCAGTCTAAATATTGCTTAAATGTTGTAATTTAATATTTCTTAAATACTGTGCAAAATATTTTTGTCAGTTTTAATTAAAACTATATTTTTCTAGAACAATTATTGTTTACCATCAGAGTAACCCAAGATAAAAAAATCATGATTTTATTTAAAGTTCACAATTTGTTTACAATACACCAATGCTCAGTTAAGCATGTAAACATTTACCTTTTCTTCCTTACTCATCCTCTTAAACTTTAATATCAACAGCAAAATCAAAGGGTAGAGAATATCCTGCAAAATGGCAACCTATTTTAGGCTTTAACATTACCTTAAAATCCAGGATACATTTGTTTACTGCAGAAACATCCATCACTACATTTGCAAACATAAAAAATAAGGCACACAGCTTGCAAGTTAGATTTTTTAAAAGTACTACTGGGTCACAATAATTAAGAAAAATATTTACATAAGTCATTAACAGTCATAATTAGAGTGTCATATAAATCAGAGTGAAACTGCTAAGTAGAAATCACTAGAAGTCCAGGTGCTTCTTGCCTATGGCCATAGCACTACATCCTGATCTCAGCAATTTGGCGGATTCTGCCAGATCCTGTTTGCTTGTGCGGCTCACTGTGTCTGACAAGTCTGGAGGCAAATGCAATCGCTATGGCAGGAGATTTTGAGGGGAGGGAAGAGAAGAGAAGAAAAGAGGGAGGGAGGGAGGGAAAGAGGGAGAGAGAGGAGAATTGTAATTATATTTTCTTTAAATATTACACTTTACAAACATACGATGATTCCTACAAATAAACAGTATTTATTAGCAAATATTTATTAGAACAGATTCTCATATCTAAATCTCAGATTGTCTCATGTGTTTTATATATTACTCTACAAATTTTGGGGATTTTCCAGAGCAGATTCAACTTCCTTCCTATTTTTAAAAACCAATTTAAAGGCCAAGATTGACCACAACAACTATGACAACATGAAGCTCGTTCCTTGAGTCCAAGTATGGGGCTTTACAATGTCTACTAAGAAATAAGTCCAACTGAGTCCAATGGGACTTACAGACAAAGTATGTATAGGATTGTAGCCTTACAGTGCAATGCTTACTCAGAAGAATGTTCCACTCTGCTCTGTTGGGAATATTATGTAATAGTTGGCCAGAACATGTGTAGGGCCATAAGTTGCCCATTTGTGCTGTACTGGATTGCAGGTTAAGGCTTCAACCCTAGACTCACTTACCTGACACATTAAACTCACTTGGGCTTGTGTTTGCCTATACATGTATAGGATTGCATCATTCGACTTTTATCTAAGCTCCCATTTCCTGCAGTTATTGTACTGCCTCCAGAGATCTGGTCTTCTACCATCTTGCCTCATATATTAAAGATATCCAATAGTCTGATTAGCAAATTAAGTATGTTTCTAATTTTATGTGTAAAAAAGGAATATACAAGCAAGGGTCCACAGAACCACACAGCAATTCTAAATGTCCAAGGGAATGTGGGATTTTGTTGAATAAGCAGTCCTTCAATAACACTTCTGAAACGGAAAGAGGTTTCAAAAGCAATAGGTGAATTGACATGGAAGCAAGTTATTAAGGGCATGGTTCTATATGTGTTTGGTCAGAAAAAGCCCTCGAACTCCCAGCATTCCCCAGCTATGCTGGCTGGGGAATGCTGGGAGTTGTAGCACTTCAGTTTTGTTTAAACATGCATAGGCTTGTGCCCTTAATATTGAAAGCAAATTGTGAATTGACATGGAGGCAAATTATTGAAAGAAAAAAGGCAATTTCCACTGGGTATACTCAAGCACCTGGATGTATATATGGTAGCTCTTTGGATCCCGGGCACAGTATATGCTATGCACAAAAACAAAATAAAAAATAACAGCCAACATAATGAAGTTATTTATATGAGAGAGAAACCACCATGCTTATTTTGCATTAGTTAACACTAAAATACGTTCTGCTGTATTAACAGTCTTTCTATAGTTCTGTAGGTCTAGATTTTAGACTTTTACTAAATTAACAGACTTTAGTAAATTGAACTTTAAAATGCCTGTTTTAAACAAGTTCTATTAAAAATCACAGTGTTACATTCATAGCAATGAGGAAATGGAGCAAAGATGTTAGGTAGACTGAAATTGAAAACCAGTAATCCTACAAAGTGCAGCATACTCTTTTACTGAGATTTTTTCAGGACTTCTCCACTGTTACTCTATAGTGTATGGTTTGTAATCTGCAGCCTTAATGAGTTGCTATGCAGCATTCCAAGCCACTATTTGTTCTCTCCCCCCCCCCCCTTAAAGGATTAACTTCTATCCAGAGTATTTATAAAACTAGGATGTATGCTGAGGTCTAACATTACTATTTATCCACTTGCAGACCTTTGCTTCCTACTGTTCTTCCATGAATATCTACAACTATGACACAACAATGCACACTTAGAGTTCAGTGTGGGTTGTCACTGAAATACAGATTATTGCTGAAACATGGGTTATGTTGTATGAATAACCCATGCTAATAAACCATGATTTGTGTGAAGAAATGGAGGTAAAAAATTAACTGCTATGTTTTGTTTCACTAACTGAGGGTCTGAATGGGTTAACAGTAAAATAAAAAGAAGCTTTTTACTGGAGGCTTCTGCCTCAGGAGAGTTCCACTGAAAAGAAAGCTTGCTGTAAAACTGGCAGTTACTGTTACCACTAAGAGGTGAAAATGAAGCCAGCTTTCTGCCTTTATAAATGGGAAAGAAGGAAATTGGTATCATCTGATTGGAGAGGGAATGAACATTCTAAAGATGCCCATTCAGGGTTTAAAGGAGAGCAGTGTGATGGAGTGGCTGGCTGAAGGGTTCTGACTGGGGTGAATGTAAGAGGGAGGCAGAAGCTGAAGGAAGTCTACAAGTGTGGAGAGGAAAACTCCTGGGGCAGCCTTTGGAGGAAGAACCTGAAGCCTGAGTGCCAGCTGGTGGCGGTGGTCCGAAGACCAAGTATTTGCTGGACAAAATTGAAGACTTCCAGAGGAGCTTGGCGAACAGCCTTGAAGGTTCTAGGAGGAAAGCAAACCTGATCAGAAAGAAGACTGCCTTTCAAGTCTTGTTCGTTAGGCCTTTGAATTAATTGCAGTGGACCGTGATAGGGAAAATGACTTAAAGTTGGTTAGGGACAGGAACAGGACTTTCAAGAGTTGATTAGTGGTAAAGACAACTGCACAGAAACTCTGTTTAAACATAGTAAAAATATTCTTGAATAATAAGTTTTCTTGTTAATGAAATACCGTCATTACAGTATTTATCTTTACTTTCCTGACTTGTCCCATACTTAATGACCAGCTATTTTAGGGAAAGACTATATATTAAAAGGAGGGCTGCAGCCTAATGGGGATAAGACTGAGAGAACAAGGAGGAGAATTATGCAGGCCACTCTGAGTTTTTTTTTTTAAAGGTGGGATATAAATCTAACAAATAAATAAATACAATTATGGCAATAGCAGAAGGGAAGGGAGGGATGGCCAGTGATGAGGAGTGATTGTCCACATTTGGGGTAGTGGTGGAATTGCCCTAGTGTAGCAGCCCCCATTAAAAAAAAAAGTTTCCCCATGATTTGTTAATAATGCACAATCCACAGAATAACTTAAGGTTTGTTGTTGGGGTATGACCTGCAGGTTGTACATGATTAACAAATCATGGCTTGTTACCGATAGGTGCACACAACACAACAACCCATGGATCTAATCACACATTCAACACACACTCAACTTTGAATACGGGTGGTGTTGTGTGCTCCCAGCCCAGACTACTACCATGCATTTATATAGTATAAGGAGTGCTTTAGGCCATGTGCAGTAGTAGTATCCCTTCTGAAGAAGAATGGTAAATACATAAAACAGGAATAAATGTTTTCAGAACACTTATAAGCATCAATAGAAAAACAAAATGGATTCTGGAGAGCTTATGGATTTGACAAGAAAGATGACCAAGGAAAAAAGTTTGAGAGAAATAGAAAGGACAGATAAGATGCTAATGTGATCCAAATTTTGTTAAAGAACTAGCCATGACTTCAGGCTTAGGAACAATAATCAGATTTGCAGACAATACAAATCTGGGTGGAATAAGGAACACCCTAGAAGACAGAATGACAATCCAGGACAATCTTGATAAACTTAAATGCTAGGCTGAAAGTAACAGAATGAGATTCAATATGGACAAAGGCCAAGTCCTTTCCTTTGAAAAAGAAACCAAATGCATCAATACTGTAGGCGACATACAGGTATGTGAGGGGATGTCACGTGGAGGTGGGTAGAGACCAGTTCTCTCCTGCAGAGGAAGGCAGGACGCGCTCCAACGGAGCAAAGCTCAGGGAACCAAGGTCCATTTAGATGCCAGGAAGCACTTCCTGACAGTTAGGACCCCGAGGGTGTGGAATGGGCTTCCATGGGAGGTGGCTGAGGCCCCATAGATGGAGAGTGTTCAAGGACAGGCCAGACATGTACATGGTGGGCATGTTGTGAGCGGAGCCGGCTGGAGCCAGGGGTCAGACTAGATGGCCCGGGAGGCCCCTTCTGACTCGCTCTGTTTCTTTGTTTCTAAGATGGATAATACATGGCTCAATAGAACTGAAAAAAAGATCTTGGAGTTATTGGGGACAACAGGCTAAATATGAGCCAACAATAAGATGCAGCTGCAAAAAGGCCAAATGCTATTTTGGGAAGCATTAATATAAGTATCACTTCCAAATCACAAGTAGTAGTAGTTCACCAAAACTCTTTACTAGTCAGACCTCATCTAGAATGTGGTGTCCAGTTCTGGACACCAAGATTTAAGAAAGATGCAGGAAAATTAGAAAGGGTCCAGAGGAGGGCAACAGAAATGATATAGTGTTTGGAAACACTGCCCTGTGAGGAGAGACTGAGAGAACTGGGTATGTTCAGCCTTGATAAGAGAAGGCTGAGGGGGGACATGACATCACTCTATAAGTATCTCACAAGCTGTCACAAAGAGGAAGGTCATGATCTCTTCTTGCTGATATCAGAGTATAGGATACAGAACAATTAATTCAAGTTGTGACAGCCTGGATTCAGACTAGATATTGGGAAAAGTTTCCTCACTGTCAAAGCAAGATGGCAGTGGAACAAGCTGCCTAGAGTGGTGGTGGGCTCTCCTACACTAGAGATGTTCAAAAAGAAACTGGACAGTCATCTGAGTGGAATGGTGTAAATTGGTGACCTGCAACGGCAGAGGGTTGGACCTGATGGCCTTTCCAACTGTGCTATTCTGTGATTTTAAGGAGTTAAACTGGTAGTAAACCAGAAGTGTTTCCTACAGTTTAGACTGCTATATCCACTGTGACTCTACCTGGAGAGGACACATATTGCCTCAAACACTTGTCTCAGATGACATGGGTTTTAATTATACTTTCCTGTTGTCTCAGATGACATGGGTTTTAATTATACTTTCCTGTTGAAAGCCACCTTGGGAAGGTCTGTGTCCTGAAGGGCAGTCTAGAAATATTTTAAATAAATAAAATAATAAACAAATCAAGGTTGGGCTACTGCAATGCACTCTGTGTCAGGCAGCCTTGAAAGGTGGTTCTGGAAACTTTAACCAATACAAAATGTGACTGCTTGAGTATTGGTGAGGGATACGTGGTGGGAACATG